TATATATATATATATATATATATATGTATATATATATATGCCGGAATCTAGTCCGAAAGGACCTAGATTTGCTTTACTTGAGGTCAGCCCGCATACTCTAGCGTTCATATCTCCTGCTAAAAGCACGATATCAGCCCGGGTTGCTTTATGCAGGAGATTGTGTAGTTTTCGGTAAAATTCGTCTTTGATTGCATCTGGGTTGAAGTTCTTTGGAGCATACGCCGACACGACAAACAAGTTTCATCAATCGGAGTGACGGCTACGTACTTCGCATGAACCTGAGCTTCGTTGCACACAACCTGCTGTCAACTGGGATCCAATCTAGGGGCGCAGCTTCAGCTCTCTCACTAAGAGCCACGCCGATGTCAGCAAGACCGAAAACTGCAGCATCAAGATCCCCGAAATTGCGTAAGTGAAACTTCGCAGTTTGGTTTAATGGGGACGTCAATCGGATAAATGAGCTGGACTTTCTTGGGTGCAACACACATTGATAGCTAAGGTCTCGAGCGTATGAGCTAAAGACGCCTGTTTTCCTATGCATATCAAAGTACGCACAATAAACGTTGCTAGTTTGACTAGACATCGAGGACAAGGATGGGCTTTCGCCGGTGGACTATTCCGTGAGCCTTGAACGCTAGTTGAGGTGGGACACGAGAGAGAGAGCAGTGGCCGAATTCCCACGCGGGGCACCACCATCAGTACGATCGTTTGAAGAACCCAAGAGAGATAGAGGTATGTCAGGTGGGATGGGGAGGACTAGGAAACATGCATGTGCACGCTATAGAACGTCTTTCGATTGATGAAGATTGGAAGTGCGGCTTCACAAGAGCAAGAACGTTCATAGTTATGTGCGTTGTGGCCCATTGTGCTACTCCGTCGCCCGGTCCAGAGTAGACCTTGCTCAAGCGTATACTAATCTTTGTGCAACTAAGCGTGGACTGCGAGGTAGCAGTGATGTTCCAAATGGTCCGGTGACCAGTTTTCAATTCATTCGCCTCTTCTGGAAAACTTTGTCGAGCATTTGGTCTTGACAAGGGGGCAATGACCATATTTACTGCCTGGCCAAGCTCGCCACGTCACAGTGCTGTCCACAGGTATTTGTAGTGTTTTGTACGGAAAACCCTTGCCAGGAGGTAAACCCACCACATCCTCGAGCGCTAACGCTGATTGTCCGTGGCTGCTTATTCTAAGGGCCTAAGCCCACTTTATTGACGGTTAGCTGAGATGACGGCCGTTACCCTATACACGAGCTGGGGACGCTCTTGGCAGCATACAGCACTGCTCTCGACATATTTACAGTCTACGACTCTGTCTCCAGTGTTTGTTTGTTCGCTGTGTGCAAAACTTCATCTACGGCAAAGTTGAGGAGAAACGGAGAGATAAGGCAACCCTGTCATACTCCACGGGTGACAGAAAATGAGGATGGGTTCATCTTAG